TGGTTCGCATGCTCTGCGAGTCGTTACCACGTAACACGATGTCATCGGCATAATCTAACTAGGCTGCTCGCATGACCAGTAGTAGCTGCAGATCAAAATATTGGTAACCTTCCAAAGCTCTCGATAGGACGTCTTCAATCGCAAAAGTGAAGAGGAAAGGGGACAGAGGGAAGCCCTATCGTACGCCGTTTTTGACAGCAGACGAAAACTTGCCATAGACTCTCACTCTGCCGGAGATGTGGAGGTGGAGTGCGCGTAGGACCCCGTCCTTTAACAAGCAACGGCATGACGCAGGTCGATCAACCGAGTCGAATACAGCACACCATCTAGCAAAGTAAGGATGGCAAGCCTATGGTAGATGTGGCGAAGCGTGAATATTTGATCCCGCACCCACGGCTAGGACGGAAGGCAGTCTGTTCTTCCCGGTACTGTGATTCATGAATCGGGGATAGACTACGAAATAGAATGGATGCCAATAGTTTGGATGCAACCGAAATGAGACTGATCCATCGGTGATTGGGGCATAAAATGCGGGCACTCATCTAAAAATTGGGACAATAACTGCCTCGCCCCATGAAGAAGGCACCTTTCTTTCATGCCGGATTTTGGAGAACAATGAGGTAAGCTGGCTGTGTCAGCATACTTGAACAGCTCCGGAGGAAGTCCCTCTGAACCGACAGACTTGAATCGTTCCAAGCGTCGAACGCAAGACAAAGTACTGCTTTACTGCGTGGATCAAGTATGACGACCAAGGGAGGGCAGCTAGGTTCGCAAGGAATATAAGTGGACGGTGAGGGCCAATTTGATTAGGAATCAATATGTTCAACCTATCGATGCAAGCGTCTCTGTAGGCTAGCAATCGGCTAACCGCTAACTTCGCAAATAGTCTCACTGACACCGGGCTTCCTGCGTCCCGAGTATCGAATGGGCTGGAAGAGTTTGTGCGTATTGTCAGAGAGGGCAGCGGCCTACTTTTCCGAAGCACGCTGAGACCACCAGGCTCCATGATCACTGGGTAGGCTTGTGTGAGCTGTCGACTGACAGAAAGGCATACTCCATTATGATTAGACTCCACTTGGATATTTCTGCGGCGGTCAAAGAGATCCAGGGAGCGCGTGGAGATCCATACCCTCACTTCGGAGCTGGCCTCGGTTGGAGCGTCTCGGCTCCCTGGTTGGGGTCCGAAAGAAGATGAACACGTTTGGCTGGATACACTTGCTGATATAGCTAGGAGCCGACCTCGGTGGCCTCCGTGCTGTGAGTTTCTTTGTCCCACCCCATCCCTCTTAGCCTCCCCCTCCAACCACGATCTCATTATTTAGCATTTTATAATTTCGCATAGTAAATTAATTTTTTCTGCTGTATAGTAGCCGGCTGGTAGCTTACCGGAACGATGCCCATCCGTTACCGGTAGCTCAGCTGGCTTGCACCAGTTGCATTTTGTTCTCGCCTTTTTTCTATGTATTGCGGCACAGCAGCTGAGGTGTTTCCCACCTCTAGCTAGTGTATAATGATGATGATGACGGTGCTGAGTAAAACCACAAACTGTGTTAAAGCGACTATGGTCTTCTTGTGCTCTGTACAAGAGTTGGTGAAGTTCACGATTGAAGTCGTCCTTGACCGAGTCATAACTGAAGTAAACTTGAGTGTAAGCTAAGATCACAAGTTGAATCTCTCCTCAAGACATCTGTTGGTCTTGCATGATCTGCGAAGCTGAACTATACACAGTCGGCTAGTAATCAGAAACAAGTCTAGCAGTGCGGCCTCGGCTACGCTGCCTAGTGCTACACCAACGCCAGCCAAGCCTGGCGCAACCGCCTCTGTGTCACCAGATAGCCGTGGATGAAATATGGCGCGGTGGTCAGTGGGGGATCTCAACTCCAACAAAATACTGGGATCCTGTAACTAGATCTCGGAAAGACAGCAAACATCGATGACGAGGGATTCCAAGGTGAGCGCAAGACCAGCCTGTTGCCCGATCTGCATGAGTGCACGTACATTAAGGTATGTCAGACGGAACGAAGAACGAGGCCGAAGGATGGCCACTAGGCAAGCTCTGGGGGCGTCAACGAAACCATCGGGAGCGGAATGATGGAAAGAAGAATCAGCTGGTAACTGATGAGAGGTATTAGCAGCACATGAACAGGTGGCGTGCGCAAGTGTGTGAGTAGCGGAAGCAAAAGCAGCTGAGCGCGATGTAGCAGATGAAAGATCCGTGGTTTTGGGACTAAGACCACAGGGGGGAGGGAATCACATTTGCTGTTCGATGATTGGAAGGTTGATTTACAGACAGAATACAAGCAGCCTGGGTGACACATTGGATATAACAGTAAGCTGTGATTCTCTGGTATTCAGATCTGATCAGCTGCATTGTAGGTCTCGATAGCATGTCTGTTCCATCAGATACACTACTCCCATCACATATCGAAGGCGCGCTAAGACATGTTCTTCAAAAAGATAGGTAACCAGCGACTGAACCAATCAAGCCAAGAATTATGGCTCTTACGCTTACTCGCAATCCAAAGATTGGGGAAAGAAGCCGTCTATCAGTTTTAATGATCCCTTGTAGTATACGTGCGTTCAAACTTAATTTGAAACATGTTACCTAACATAGCTACTGAGGAACCCAAATACTGTACAAGCCTACATGTCCAGAAACTATAGTAACATCCGAGCTGGTAGCAGTGCGTGGCATAAGACATCTCTGACAAGACCAAGACTGCGACCGAGTGAAAAATGGGTAGAGACCATGTACGACCAGCGCGCGGTACTGTTCCCTTTTGTTGTTGAGGTGATCCAATCAACCAGCAAAGATTCATCCTAAGAGTTGAGGACGACGTGCACTCCATACCTTCGGATGTGTGAAACTGATAGTGAGGGAACAGGGCTGCGTGAGGATCATAAACACTAGTTTCTGAGATGTCAACACGTCAACGCTCAAAATATCCGGCGTTCATGTTGAGCCACATGACATGTGGTACGAACGCTGAACGTCGCCACAGAAAAGTGCAGCATAGTTGATGAAAGAAGACTGCTGGACGCTGTGATGATATAGATGTGAATGGTAGAACTGTAATTACCGTTACATAGACTGCAGATTATGGAAAGAAAATTAAAAATAAGGGATGACAACAACAACAACCACAACAACAATCGATCGTGCTCATTGACGTTTCGCTGCCATACAACTATAGGTACAATTTTAATGAGGGAAGGCGATAACAGCCGAGGGTAAGACGAATAGATGATAAAGAAATGAGTCAAAGGTAGGCTATTTCGCCCGCTCATTTTTTGTATTCATAAATTAGGCGACTCTTTGACAGCGCTTGGCAGCCGACGTAGGATCAGGCCAGAGGCTGAAAGTAAAGTAATCGTTAGATGCAGGTTCGGATGTTGTCATCGTGCCCAAACCTGGTTAGGCAGGCAATTATGATTCCCAGATGGAGCCTTTGGTGCCAGAGCCTATTCACAAGGTAGTGGGAGTTAAGGCAACAATTCATAAAGATGGTCCGTGTTACGGATGTTGTGACTGTTCAAGTATATAGTTGTTTCCTTCCCTACTTGCTTTAGATTCCTGCCCATCCCTTTTGTAGAAGCAAGCATAACACATGCATGCAAACTCGCTTTGATCCCAGCCCCATCTGTTGCCCATCAGTAAATGTGTAAATCAATACATACGGTAGGCCTTCAACAACTGATATCAGAATAGCTTGAAATTAAGCACCAACACTCACTCATGCTTTCATGCACTGACACGCAAGGCATAATCGCTATGACGCAATTTCACGTGTACTGCGAACTGGTTAACTGGGTTACCGATCGTTTTGCCTTAAATCACATCTGAATGCAACTCTATCAGTTTGGTTGGTTGACTGTTCGCCTCGAATGGTTGATCCTACGATTTGCATAATTTCCTGTACATTTTTGGTCTGGGCAGTGCTGAAGTCAGTCCTTAAATTGATGCTTAATTCTCTGTAAACAGCACCGTAGCTCATTCCCGCTCTGAACTTCTGAATTGACCCGGGTTTTCACGAGTTGCTCAGATCCAAGACCTAGTTGACGGAAACAATCCGTTTTCTCAAGAACGGGTGTCATCACATTTCCAATCTCTAAGCTGGAGAGTTAAAAGACCGGGTTGTCGGATCTTCAATCATTGAGTGATTAGTTGGAAGTAGCCTACAAAGCGCCCGAGCGCAACTTACAAGTATGCCGCAATGGATCCGACACGCATTTAGACCATTTAATAAAGTAGAAGTGCAGTTTCGTAGTGAGAGGTGTCTAAAAGGTGTGGTCTCACTGTTGTAATTGTCTGACTCCTGATTTTGTCAACTGCAGTAAAATAAAGGCTGAACGATGTTGAAATGTGAACGAAAAGTTTCCAGAATACTCCGAAGCACTGCCAACAGTGCATAAGAGCATAAAGAATAACGTCGACGTTTGTCTCAAAAAATCGCTATCATGGATCGTTGGAGACAAGTTCAGTGTTAGAACAGAGGGTCATAGCGGTCAAAGAAAGCGTGACTAAGCATAATCGGAAGCCCCCAACAGAGGCAGGGAATACGATCCTCACTACAGGTGAATTGCGTAAAATAAGGGAAAATCACAAATTAAAGGTAAAACAAAAAGCGGATGGAGAGAAAGCAGTACGCCAATACGCAGTACCGACGCTTCGCTGCCGTGCAACCATCATCAGTCGTACATGGTCTAAGAATATCGCGAGGGTCGTCCGGTCTCTACGCAGCTCAGGCAGGCTACGGGCCGGCGAATGGAGAGAGTTGACATCCCTCTAGAAAAATCATAATCAAGTTAAATTGGGATGAGTTCGGAGTTGCAAGTGTTATCATGTTGGTGACGAAACAGGCTAATCGAGTTGCATGGATTCGTATCTAGGTCCGGTATTGGCCCAGCTAAGGAGTGAACTAGACGATTGACATGATGTTAGGAGTGAACAAACATTAACACATTCACAGATTATCAAGCATGCAAACTACTGAACCTACCAAGGAGCTGTCTTCGTTTTTCGACATAAGCGTGTTGCTGCTCGTGACGCAAAATATTTGGAGCGTCGTCTACAAACCCACGTATGGAGGTTGGTCGATACGTCAACTCAGAATCGGTTTCCTTGTTTGAATCAACGCGTGAGGTTGGGGACGTGGAAAGAGTGTGAGACCAGAGTGTGAGTCGATCATCCACAATTGGGCGAGGTATCATGGGGTTGGAAGAAATTATGAGAACATGTTGTCCAGAGTTGGCAGAAGTGGCCAAATCCCTGGCAGCTTCCAATTGTTTAATCTGGAACACAAAGAAGCATGAATATCGAAATATTGAAATGACATTACGAAGACTGATCGAGAGGCAACAAGAAAGCGATCCACTGGGTGACGAAATCAAAATGTACCACCTGCAAAAGCAGTGGCAATTGAGTTATCAGATGCACGTAACGAGTTCGAGGTTACTGAGAGTCAAGTGCGGGAATCAATGACAAACTCAGTGCTCCAGATAAGAAAACCAAGCATAAAGTGAACAACTGGGCGCGGACAATATGAGCATATACAGATGAAATGCAGGGCGAACGGGATCCCGAGTGTTACGAAAATGCGTCGCTGAAGGGCTGAGTGGCAGGCGAAAATACCATAAGCGAAAATAGCCGTGTATGGCAACAATGAACATAGTAAAACGCAGTACACAAATTTAACGAAAACCAACAACAGACAATTATTGGACTGATTCAAAGCTCGGTAAAATCACTTTAGGTCTAAGGAGGTCCGTGTAAGAGATTCAGTGGTATCGCTTTGAGAAATACTTCTGACACTGTCAGGAACATGGAATACTTGCATAAGGGTAAGAATCGGAAGGTGTCCGAAAGTATAAGACGTCTGTTTTATAATCCAGGTGGGTCACAGTGAGTGGCAGGTGTATTTTGACAGATTTGTAATTTAATGGATGGCAGTTGGATGGTTCAAAGATGTGTTGGCCGGTGACTGAAAGGATTACGCATCTGCATTGCAATCCGGAGGTCACTGGTTCGAATCCACAGTATACACAGCCCGCGCGCGGCCTTTGGCGGTTGCGCGACAGCGAAACGTGGGTACAGCGTGCCTGCGTACTGCTGATGCATTTTTTTCGCAGATGCCGGTAGTAAGATGGCAAACAGCACATATGTCATACCACAGTTAAATCCAGGAACATATATCAGTAAATTGTTCGTAGTAGAAAGTTATCGATATCTACCAGATGATATGGATGAGCAGAAGTTCACCCGCCTTTTAGCCTATCAGCCCGTCAGGTAGAAGAGCAACAAAGATATCGGAGAACCGCCACCTAGTGTAGTTAACTGGGCCGTGAATGAAAGCACGCCACTAGTCGAAGTCCAGTTTCATCTCGAGGTCACGTTCGAGGAAGGAGTAATAAACCCACAAAGTAGAACTGGTAAAAATGTTGACTAGGCTCCAATTAATGCGATCATATGCCTTGGATATTAACTGAAACCAACGGTGGCATCATGCACACTTCCTAACAAACGCGCCGTGGAATACAAGTGCCAGTGTGTAGTGACGACTGTTCCCACCAGGTCTCATCAGAATGCCGGAAGTACCGGAGCTTAGCTGTTAAACAAGCGGATATTGCACTGGACAGTTAACAGTTTGTGATTCAACAAGATCCCGTCACGTGTGCAGCCAGCAGGGGTTGCTGAGGTAGTGTTTGAGGAAAACCGAATATCAAGACCTAGAGGCCGTCTTTAGTGATGCCTTCCAATGCGAATATAAAAATGCATGCCTGTAGGGATCAGTGAAGGTTTTGATCAGGTTGTCGGCTTCCGAGGAAAAGGATGATGACCGTAAGCTTTGAATAAACGCCTGTATAGTGTAATAGGAGTAAAGCAAATCACGGTGGAGCGATTCTGTGTCAAGAACCCTGTCACATAAACAGATGTGCAGTACTTGACAAGGGCACTGCTGATGACATCGCTCGACATCGAATTTGTTTCCGGTGCGGCGTTAATGTTTGAATGCCGTAGGACAGAACCGTGAGTACCACTGGCCGGTATACCACTAGATTGATTTCAATGGTAAACTGATAATTCTTATTTGGTCGGTGGTATATGATTCCGAATTTGCCTGCCACTGTGGCCTACATGAGGACAAGCACAAGACGCATGTGTCTAAAAAGGGACAATGGGTGGCTTGCGCTACGCCACCCACATCTCTGCACACACACCTCCAGTCTAAGAGCGGGAGGCATGCGGATCAGAGCCAAGTTTCATCAAAGGAACCGGTCCACGCTCCTACAACATGCATAACAGCAGCATTCATATTTGTCTAATTGAGAAATCATGAGTTTCAGACGCACACAGGATGGTGGCTGGGCCGTAGCTTGTTTCACAATGGATGCAAACACTCTTTCAGACTAACAATCATGAGGACCATGTACCTCGTCTCTCTCAGAAACGACCAACCGTCTACTGGAGCCAGTATAATCGGTGTAGTGTTTTCGACAGGTAGGCAGCCTATCAAAATTCATATCAAGAGCATCCACACCGAAGTTTTCAAACGACTGACATAGAAGTCGAGAAAATATGAACATGTGAACTTGATGCGGAATATGTAGTAGAATTAAAGAGCTGAGCAAGATCTCGTTTCAGTGTAAGTAAATGTAGCCCAACTGCGATGTGTGGTGGAAGTCGTGACCTATGGATGTCAGCCATTGTCCTCTGCAATGGTAGTAACCTGCATAGCGGTGGAGGATAAATTGCGCTGTATCCCAGTACGCTGTCACCGTCATCCATAGCTCAGTGGCATAGGCTGCTAGTTAACTGGCGCAGGTTGGTAGTGGGTCACGCGTTCGGTCCGCTATAGGGGACCGAGGGAATACGCCTCAATAGGGTGAAACGACCGTCTAACGCCATTCCGGATTAGGGGTTAGACAATATAGTATATGAGCAGGTGTGACAAAACAACAAAATCTCAGCAAAAGTCCTCCTACTCACTAATTAGCCGGATGTTTTTTGTTGAGAAATGTGCGTTGTCTGCACGTAGCGAAGATCAGTTGCAAGGTAGGTGGACGACTCGAGCTTGTCAAATTCGGACTCACTACCAACAAAAGACTGACTTTTCAGCCGTCGCCAGGGCTGGGTTCCGTGTGCTACCCGCAAACCAAGGTTTCGGATAAAGTTGTGAGGACCACGTCGAGAGATAGATGTAAATAGACCTGTGGATGAGCAGCGAGCTGCGTATTCGTGCACCGAAGGCGTGTGCTACACCAGCCAAGCAGGAATCCCGGGTCTGGTAGAATTCTCAGCCGAACTTTGGGACCGAGCTGGTTGTGTACAAGGCAATGGTACTATCGGTATTCCTGAAGGGCAGTGAAACATCAATTGACCTCTTCTCAATACATACGCTTTTGATTTAGTGAGTTACTAAACAGGGCCCATTACATCATGCATGCATTATTTGGACTACAAAGGTCCACCTAGCTAAAGTAAGGGAGTAGAGTAGTTAGTAGTAGAGTAGTTAAGAGTAGTAGAGTAGTTAAGACGAGTCGCATTTGCCACGACGCGATAACGTTCAGCGGACATATGGGGCCTCTTATAGGGACAGTATTTGTTAGGCTAAAAGACACCAACCACTGAAATACTGTTGCCGGAACAGTTGTCCGAACGAAATAAACCCGAACCACCAACCTGGTATCCCAAGAAGGCCGTTCGGCAAGCCAATCACAAAAAGGTCACAGCAATACGCTCGTACGGTGCACCGAAACCTGGCTGTCACGCGACCATCACTAGTTGAACGCAGGCTATGGATACTGTGAGGTCACCTGAGACGCAAGACAGACGCTTCATCCCTTCGGTCACTAGCCGAATAGACGAAGAGTCATCAAAAACTACGGAAAGCATCATCAACAGCAGTATAGCAGAGATTTGAACTAATGCATCGCTGCCGTACAACCACAATGACCTAGAAACGAAAAAATAGTAAGAGAAGGAGGACTTAGCGTAAAACCTTAATGCCATAAACAAACATACAGAATCACAGTGCCCACGCCTTGTATCAACGACAAAAAATCACAGCTGGCAACCGTACAAAAATAAAACATCGGTGAGACAGCTTCCTTGCGGCTTTCACTGCGCCGCGTCATAACCAAGTCATTACTCTGCAGACAGCGCAGCACAAAAAACACCTTAAACAGGCCATCCCACGAGCAGACGACAGCTGACACGCTACTGGTGCCTACTGCGAGCCATGTCCTGAAAAATTTCGAGCCAAGCACAAGGCGAGTCAAGTGGACTCCAGCCTGGAAAACGAGACGGACCGACGGGACCAAGTTTGGTCGTCAGTGACTTCAATTCCCGCTGCCAAGTTTACTTTAGGTCACCTCGCGCATTGCGCTACTCTACATCTGGCAGACAAAACAAGGCCCTCCTCGGTAAGCAATAACCGGACATACATAGTACGTGCCCAAGCTAACGCGACTTAAGTAGCTCTATTTGTCGTTCTAAGCAAGTAGCTTGCGTATCATTGTCTAGTACTCGTCTACGCACATCATCGTTGCGGAGATGCTGGTGCCACACGACACCAGCAATGCTCCGTGGACAGAAATGATCAAAGACCTGAAGGTGCCTCAGATGTTAACACCGTATGGGCCATGTCTCACTTCAATAGTGTGGGACGGCCCTCATTGTGTCCTTATAAACACGGCCTTTCAGACAGACAGAAACCCCCTTCTAACACCAAAGATGTCGCAAATTCAAGGAGACAAGTCTTGCTTTTGCAGTACGTGAACTGACTTCAGGTGCTACGCTCCCATCGTAGCTGATACAGTTGTCAAGTGAAGTGATTAACTACCTCGAGTTCCTCATTAACAAGCGGCAAGTGGCTGGTGGTCGTGCAGCAACAATTTGCGCTTTGAAGGTGCGAAGCGCATACAAAATAATGGGACAACTCTAAAGAGGCTATTTAGGGTTAATTGTGTTCCGCTCGGTAAGGCATACGGCGCTCCTTATTGTGAATCAGGGTACCCGCGCTGTCTCCGAGGGCCTTAGTGACACCTAGATTTCTGGTACCAGTGATTCAGATAAGTCGAAAGAGTTTGTGACAAGTGACTACTGCGACTGCTTTCTATTTCTTGAGCCTCAATATTCACCGAGTTCCTTCGTTAGCACGTACCATTAGTTGGCGCTTAATAGGCCATCTGGTCACATTGTGCTCAGAGCCAGCCGGGAGTTTTCTTCTGGATTCCAACAGGTCTACCGACCTCTAGGATGTCCAGTGACTGCTGCGGGGACGATGGACTGT